GGCTGGGGATTCGAACCCGCCACCTTAGGTGTACGTGGCTGGCGCCTTAGCCAGTTGAGCTACAGGCGCCGAGCCTAGTTTCTTTTCTTTTGAGGATGGAGTCTCACTCTGTTGTCCAGGCTAGAGTGCCATGGCACCAGCGTAGCCTACAGCAACCTCAAACTCCTAGATTCAAGTGATCCTCAGCCTCTCAGAATGTTAGGATTATAGGCATGAGTCACTATGCCTGGCTGAATTTTCTATCTTTAGGGAGTAGGTAAACAGAGAGAAATACTGGGAACTGATGGGTTAAGTCACATTATGAATCACTTCTAGTATTCAATTTCACAAAATTGGGACAGCAGTGGGACAGGATTATAATTCTGGGAATGACTCAGATCCTTAGGCACATATAGGATCAGGTAGCTGATTCCCTCAGAAGAAGCAAAATCTCCAACCCAGAGTCACTGACTTTGTTTCTGACTTTGTTCAAGAAAGCAATGTAGACGTGAAAGGACTATAGTGTGTATGTGTGTTGGTTAGGGTGGGTTCACAGCAGGAACATAAGCAAGAAAGATCCTGAGAATTTTATAAACGGTGCAAAAGAAAGCAAAGGAATTACTTAAATGTGAAATGAGAACTGTTTCTCAGAGATGAGTCAGGAAAGCCTGACACCAAGTGAGTTGGATACTCTCAGTCTAAATCAGACCTTGCTAGAAATATAATGTAAGGTAGATGTGAGGCCCTGTGAAAAGTCCAGAAAGGGTCAGCTTAGGCCAAGGAAAAAGCAGGGCAATAGCGTTTTTGGTGGTCTACTGGCAAAAAAAAGAGTAGAATAGAAAAACTGAATTGGCAAAAAGGAATCATTAACTACATACCTACCATAGCCCTACAAACCTAGCAGCTTACCAGAATGGATAGATTCCTAGACGAGTGATCATAAAAACAGCACTGAAGATCACAAAAAGTGTGTCACAGAGCCGCTGATACTTGGCATAATTGGCCAGCTTGGCTGCCTGGACAACGGAAGATAAGAATTGAGTTGAGAACAAAGTCATTTCTCACATAGGAAGAAAAGGACAGAAAAAGAGGAATGATGAAAGAAAGAGGGGTTGGGTTTTTACCTCCAGCAAGAAGTCTGAGGCATCATGTAGACACATGATCAAAGTTCCCACTCGAACCATGTTGGTGATGTAGGAGAGGGTGATAAGTGCAATGGTGACCAAGTGATGCACGAACATGATCAGGAAGTCCTAGAAAGGAATGAAAATAGAAGAGGCAGATAAAGGCAAGGGCACCAAAGTGCTAGCCACCCCAACATCCTGCATTATTCTGAGGATCTTACCCCACCCCTTATAGGTTCCATTCTGTTTAGACTTTCCTTTAGGAAGCTGGCTAGTATTTAACTCAATACTACCTACATCATTGACTGACTCATAGTCTATGTTAATATAGCTTGAAATACAGAAAAGAGCAATTGCCTTTGGCAACTGAAGACTATATAGAGCATGGATGATGAGCTGATACTTAGGAATAATTTCTCAGTGGGACATATAGGCCTTAGATATCCTTGAAATTCTAAGACTCTTCTGCTTTAATAAAAGACATTTCAGTCAAAGGGACCTAATAGAAAGGAGAGGTTTATGGAAGACCAAAGCAGATATGCAGAAAAATGCATATCAGTTAGACTCTTACTGTAAGCACTTCCTGCTTTCAGATTTAAGTTTCCTAATTTCCTCTTGGGTTCAAATGCCAGGGTTAGACTTGGAGAAATCTCAAAATACTTGAATTATCATACACGTCTATAAAATACTTGTCAGCCACCGAGGACAAAAGTGTAGGAGAAGACAGGTGAATTTGGGTCAGAGAAACAAGGATGAAAAGTCTGTGCTCTCCACGTAGATACAATGGGATTAATGATATTCTAGTTCTTTAGTTGGGTGAAACATTTACACGTATATAGTCTATTATGTTTAAACATTATGATGAGCTAATAAATAGTTCCATCAAATCAACTCTTCCTTTCCTCTGTGGTCCCTGTCAGAAGAGAGAACCCATCACAACAGCAACAATAGAAGATGGCAGAAAGGAAGATGCCACAAATTAGAGAGCTGAAGGAGCCAGCATCCTTACCTTTCTTTTAATGTCTGTAAACTGAGAAAACATAAGAGACCAATAGAAGGCCAATTCCATAATATAATAGCAATAAAGTCCACTTGAGAGAGGCTGGAAGAAAGAAAGAAGTTGTTAGAATACCAGCTAGTCAAAGCTGCATTCAATCTCTGCAGGTTTCTCTGTCTTGGAGAAGGACCAATACCCCTAAATTATTAGATATTTATTCTACCCCATCATTTCCCAAGATCTACAATAGCTAATAGATTTTGGATTGGTATAGTAGAGATTTAAACCTCTTCCCTTTGTACCTCTACATACCATCTTCTGCTTTCTTCTTTAGCATAGTCATTATCAGTATGTCTAGAATTGTGGGCAGTTAGTGCTTTTCATGGGATTAAATACACAAAGGTCTTCCTTTCTTCCACCTTGTTAGCAGTTCCCTGACATGCTTCTAGTGTAGACTGGAATCAAGATGTTCTTAAGGGTGTTGTTCCAGTTGCCCTTGATACAAAAAGGCCACCTGAGCAAGAAGGTACCTTATTAACTGACAGGAGACTGTTTTTCTCTTTAGCCCAATTAGGGTGAATATAATGGAGGACTTAGAATAAAAAGGTCACTGTATTTCACTGCTATGGAAGCCTTAGAAAAAGAAATGCTGCATGTATGAGTCAGAAGGACTCGACTCTTAATCCTGCAATACCATAGAAATGTGCCATCTGTCCTGGGACTGGCATTGCACCCTCACCCACCTGACCTTATACCTTACGCACACACAACGCCCATATCTTCAAACAACTCGGATTCTACCTGAAATGGATAGCCTTGCCAGCACTGTCGGATGTCCCAGAACCAAGGTGACTAAAAGAAAACAGATAATCCAGGTCAGCCTTCAGGATTCTTACCTGGCTTCAAGATCTATCCCTTACTTCACTTGCCTAGGACAAAAGAGATAAGAAAGAAGGACTCCACCTTAACAGATTTCAGAGATCCCTAAAGGATCAATAAATGGCTAGATTTTTCTTTATACAATAAGAAAGTGTTATTATAAATAAAAAAGCTATGCTTTGAGGTAAATAAGAACAGGGAGAGCTCTAGGATAGTTTTAGGAAGCATCATCACCTGAGATATATATATATATAGTGAAGCAGGAAGACAATGATTCCATTTGATAATCAAGAGAAAAATTTCTACATCAAATTCAAAAGTAATCATCTCTAATGGAGTTAAAATTATATCCTTTAAGGACTCTATTCACTTATCCTGTTGAATTTATTTTTATTAAATTATTCATTAATATTATCTTTTTATCCGTTCAATGTCTATAAAATCTAAAATGACAAGCTCTTATTGATAATTTATATTTTCTTTCTTTTCTTGGGGTTTATCAATTTTAATCAGACTTTCAAAGAACTAACTTTTGGTTTTATTAATTTTATCCATGGTTTATTTAATGTCTATTTCATTCTTTTCTGCCCTTTTTTTGAGACAAAGTCTTACTTTGTTGCTCTTGGTAGAGTGCTGTGGCCTCGTAGCTCACAGCAACCTCAAATTCTTGGGCTCAAGTGATTCTCTTGCCTCAGCCTCCCAAGTAGCTGGGACTACAGGTGCTCGCCACAATGCCTTGGCTATTTTCTTACTCTGGCTCGGGCTGGTCTTGAACCCATTAGCTCAGGCAATCCATCTCCCTTGGCCTCCTAGAGTACTAGAATTACAGGCGTGAGCCACTGCACAGGGCCTTCTTTTCTGGTTTTTAAAAACTATTTACTTTTGGCTCCGCCCCTGTAGCTCAGTGGTTACAGTGCCAGCCACATGCACCGAGGCTGGCGGGTCTGAGTCTGGCCTGGGCCTGCTAAACAACGACAACTGCAACCAAAAAATAGCCAGGCATTATGGCAGGTGCCTGTAGTCCCAGCTACTTGGGAGGCTATGGCAAGAGAATTGCTTAAGCCCAAGAGTTTGAGGTTGCTGTGAGCTGTGATAATTTATATTTAAATTATAAATATAAATTTACATTCTACCAAGGGCAACATAGTGAGATTCTATCTCAAAAAATAAAAATTATTCTTTTTACTTACTTAGCTCTTTTACAAGATGCTAAAGTAGAAACTTACATCACTGACTTTAAACCTTTTTTTCTAACATAAACATTTAAATCCATGAATTTCCCTCTAAATGTGCTTTAGCTGCATCCTAGAAATTTCACTATGTTGTAGTTTCAGCATTATTTAATTCATAACATTTTCTAATTTTTGTTTTTGTTTTTTTTTCTTTTTAAGACAGAGTCTTACTTTGTTGCCCTGAGTAGAGTACCATGGCATCATAGCTTACAGCAATCTCAAACTCTTGGTCTTGAGCAATCCTCTTGCCTTATCCTCCCAAGTAGTTGCGACTACAGGTGTATGCCACTATGCCTGGCTAGTTTTTCTATTTTTAGTAGAGATAGGGTCTCACTATTGCTCTGCCAAGTCTTGAACTCCTGAGCTTAAGCAATCCACCTTGCCTAGTGATCTAGACAATTATTGAGAGAATGTTAAAATCTCTAACCATGGGCCAGACACGGGAGCCCACACCTGTGATCTTATCATTTTGGGAGGCCAAGGAGGAGAACTGCTGGAGGTCAGGAGTTCTAGTCTCAGCTACTGAGTTAGAAAGATCCTTTCAGCCTAGGAGTTTAAGGTTACAGTAGACTATGATAATACTCTTGCACTCTAGCCAGGGCAACAAAGCAAAATGCTATCTTCCCACCCCAAAAGAAAATGAAATCTCCAACTATGATTATACTTTTGCCAGTCTAATTTTTAAATTTTCCTGTAGAGACAGAGGGTCTTGCTATGTTGTCCAGGCTGGTTTTGAACTCCTGGCCTCAAGCAATCCTCCCACCTTAGCCTCCCAAAGGGCTGGGATTATAGTCATGAGCCACTACATTCAGCAGTTTCACCCACCTTAAACAGTTATTGATTACCTTGGAAGAAGAGGACTTTTGTCAATGCTTTATAAACTACTAAGTACTATGCTAATTTAATTATTACTATTATCATTAGCATTATTTATGGGAGAAAATGGTAGAGTCAGGAGCCTACTAGAGTCAGGCCCCAGACAGAAGACAATCTCTTAGCATACGTGTATAAACCTGAGCTATGGGTATCACAAATGTCTAAAGGCATTTAACTTTCTCTCTAGAGATCTAGGCATGATTAGAACCCAATCAGAGAACCAGAGGAAGTTCAGACTCACCAACCAGAGAAATCTAATTCCATAGCAGAATATGCATAAATAAAAAGAGAATCTCCACCTGAGTGGGCAAAGAATAGAGGTTAGACAAATATTGACTGAAACAAAAAGTCTTTGAGGCTAAAAAAGTCAAGATAGCCAATCTGGGCTTGGTGCCTGTAGCTCAGCAGCTAGGGCACCAGCCACATACACTGGAGCTGGTAGGTTCGAATCCAGCCTGGGCTTGCCAAATAACAATGACAACTACAACCAAAAAAAAAAAAAAAAAAAGATAGCCAATCTGCAGATAAGACAGTTACTGGTGAGAAACCGGCTAAATTCCCAGAATAGAGACAAATAACAAATACTGTTACCTAAAAAGCCAAAGACAGAGTCATCTTCCACCTTCTATGTAAAATAGACTTCCATATATATATACATATATACTGGCTTTTTAATCAACTTTTTATTTCATATCAGATTCCCTAATAATAGTGCTCTATTTCTAGAGGATAATTAGAGAAAACTCTGTGAAATGAAGTATATAGTATTTTCCAGAAGATGGACATTTCCAAAGAAAATGTCAATTTATAGCAACCTAGTACTATTGCTGTCAAGGTGTACCATGGTGTGCATATCTATCTATGTAAGTGCAGTTATAGGAACTTAGTCCCAGTCTGTTTGGAAAAGGGGATAAAACGCAACCGCAACTAGCTCAGTGGCAAACATGTCCAAGTAACTGAGTGTTATCAGCTATCTAGTTTTATTATTTCCACCCGTAACAGACTGAGTTAGCCCTCCACATCTGTCAATTGTTGCCCTAAATAGAAGTGATTTCCAAGAAGAAAACCTCAGTCCCGTTATATCCCCACTACCCTCCTCCTCATTCCCTCCCTTCCTCCCTGTACACCTACATGCTTTCACAGAATTTAGTGAGCGTTGGGGGCTTGTCCTGATTCCTTCGATGGCGAAACCAGCATTGGATTTTTCGGACATCCCAGTCCAGTTGCTTTGACAGGCCCTCCAGCCTTTTCTTATCAGGATACTATAGATGTATAACAAGAGTCAGAACACTCCTTTCTTCTCAAATCCCTCATTAAATCCCTTGACAAGCTGAGCAGCAAGGGATGATCACCACAGTAGCTCAAGTGATATTTATCTTTCCAGGTCTTATCTCAAAGTCATTTCTAGTAAGAAATCTTATTTTGGGCGGCGCCTGTGGCTCAGTGAGTAGGGCACCAGCCCCATATACTGAGGGTAGGGGGTTCGAACCTGGCCCCAGCCAAACTGCAACAAAAAATAGCTGGGTGTTGTGGTGGGCGCCTATAGTCCCAGCTACTCGGGAGGCTGAGGCAAGAGAATTGCCTAAGCCCAGGAGCTGGAGGTTGCTGTGAGCTGTGATAATATGGCACTCTACTGAGGGTGACAAAGTGAGATTGTCTCTATTAAAAAAAAAAGAAAGAAATCTTATTTCATACATGAAGGACTTTTATTGCTCATATAATATGTATCCTTGTTTGGTCTTCTCCATCTAGCCCAAGCTCGGTAAAAAAAAGATATTAAAGGCAGTGCCCATAGCTCAGTGAGTAGGGCACTAGCCACATACACTGAGGCTGGCGGTTTTGGGCCCAGCTGGGCCTGCTAAACAACAATAACAACTACAACAAAAAAATGACCAATGGCTCGGCGCCTGTGGCTCAAGCGGCTAAGGCGCCAGCTATATACACATGAGTTGGCAGGTTTGAATCCAGCCCGGGCCTGCAGAACAACAATGATGGCTACAACCAAAAAAAATAGCTGGGTGTTGTGGTGTGTGCCTGTAGTCCCAGCTACTTGGGAGGTGGAGGCAGGAGAATTGCTTGAGCCTAGGAGTTTGAGGTTGCTGTGAGCTGTGATGTCACGGTACTCTACCCAGGGTGACAGCCTGAGACTCTGTCTCAAAAAACAAAACAAACAAATTTAAAAAATCCAAAGTGCAAAGACTATCAGTATCATCCCATCTAGATTACACAACTAGGTAATGATAGAAACTAGAAGAGGGAAAAATAAAAAACAAGATATATGTCTAGGGAAAGGGGAGTGGAGGTGGCTACTGAGCCTAAATTTGACATATGTAGGGACCTGGCCCAAAAGTTTTCTCTGAGAGAATAAAGTTCTCCATATAGCTATATGGACTACCCAAATGTAAAAGATCCTCTCATCTTATTCTTACTCTTAGAGATATGTGCTTTCTATCCTCCTCTGACCCATGGAACAAGCCCTCCCATCAGTTTTCCTCTCTATTTCTTTGCCCACTTACCTTGGTAATAGATACGAACACTTTTTCAAGGATGGCATTGGGTTGGGCCTGATAAGGACCACTGTCCTCGATGCCAACATGGAGTGCACAGGGTTTGGCAATAAACCTGTAATGGAGAACACCCAAAAGCCAATTATTTTTTAAAATGTTTATTTATAATTGACACATAATAACTGTACATATTTATGGGGTACAATATGATGTCTCAATGCATGTATACATAGCGTAAAATGAAATTAGGTAACTGCTATATCCATCACTTTATTACTATCTTTCTTGAGAGACAGGGTCATACTCTGTCACCTAGGCTGGAGTGCAGTGGTGGAATCATAGCTCACTGTAACCTCTAATTCCTGGCCTAAAGCAATCCTCCTGCCTTGGCCTCCCAGAATTCTGGGATTATAAGCATGAGCCATTGTGTCTACCTATATCCATCACTTTAAACACTTATCAGTTCTTTGTGATGACAAAACTCAAGATGTTCTCTTCTAGCTATCTTGAAATATATAAGACATTGTTATTTGCTATAATCACTCTACTGTGTAATAGAAGAACAATTTTTTTCCTCCTGTCTAACTGTAACATTGTATACACTGACCAACCTCTACTGATTTCCCCTCTTCCCAGCCTCTGTTAAGTACTAGCCTC